CACTGATAGCTCTGGCACATAGGGGATGGGGGTCTCCCCAGCTCCAGCTGGTGCAAGACCCTCCTGTATAGCACATCTATCTACCGGGGGAGGTCAGCTGGGGGCTCAAGGGGCAGGCAGACCCCACAGAGCTGTTTTCCCCTCCCCAAAAAAAAGCCATGAGCTCAGCGTTCAGGAGGTGAGAGCACGCACAGAGATAATCACAGGGGTCTTTCCACTTGCCTCCTGCTGCTGAGCATCACTTAGGACGGCTCCTTTTCTGACCCCTACCCCCTCGCAGGAGGGAGGGGAGAAACTTCTTGGCTGGGTGGAGGCAGAGGCGAGGTTGTCAGGTCACCAAATTCTGCAGTTCTGGCCCCAAAAATCCCTTCCCTTCCCCCCGCCCCAGAACAAGGAGACTCCCACTCTGCAGCCATTCAGTCTGTGCCGCCTCTTCTCCATTCTCGCCCCATCTCCCCATTCGCCATGCGCGCACCCCTCTTTCCAGCACGCCCCTTCCCAGGGGTACGCATGGAGGATGGCTAATGCCCCTCGCGAAGCGGCCACTGTCCGTGGCCGCCCTGGAACGAGCTGTCCCCCACGCTGCCCCGCGTGCAAATTGGCCCTCACAGAAGCGCCTTTGTGCCACGGCGTGGAGCTGAGATGCTCGGGGGCTGAGGTCACTGGAGGGACCCTCACAGGACCCCCCTTGTTCTCTGGGACAGGAGGGGGTGTGTGGCGGGGGGAGATGCTGGGCCGTGGCCGCAAGGCTCTGCTCCCACGCAGCTCACCCATTGCCCAGCTGCTTCTGGCAGGGAGCTCTTCAGAGCAGAATAAAGAGGCTCCAGCATGCACGTGTGTTGTACATGGGAGTGCCGCTCGCAGTCAGGCCATCGAGGTTACGGGCAAGCCCATCTCCCCCAGCCTCCCTGGGCAGCTGCCTCGCGCCAGCCAGCAGCAGCAAGCCAGGGCAGGCAGCAGCTTCAGGATCAGCCTTACCACCCCTGCACCCTCCAGGGCAGGGACCCTGGCACTCAGGACAAGCTCCCCCTGCCCTCCGCTTCCCAGACCGTAACACAAGCTCCAGACCAAAGACCCACATCCGTGGAATATCCTTTCTGCCTCCACTCTGTATCCCATGCACTTATTATTGTCCTTATTAAAGCAGTTTTGATACTAACTTCTCCTCTGGTGCCTCCCCTCAGCTGCAGCGACCTTACCATCTTCCTTGCTACGTCTGCCGGTGCCCCAGCCACAAAATCCCATCCTCTCCACTCTCAGCAGAGTTTTCCAGCACCTCTGGTATCCCTGGATTAACTAGCCTGGTACTTTGCCGCTAACCATGGCTAACACACAAAGCAACCTCCTATCCACCCGGTCCCCATGTAGCACACAGGAGGGTGCAAAGCTTCCTCTCCAGCCTGGCAACAATTCATTTGCAGCCTGAAGCAGATCAGTACCCTTCCCAAAGCTGGCTTGGCTACAGCCCTTCCAGCTCATCAGACATCCTCTGCCTGTGCGCTCAGGCAGCAGCAAGTCCCACGGGTTGGGCAGTGAGGAAGTAGAGAGGGAGGGCAGGGGCGCTGCCACCTTGCCTTGGACTGGGCTCTCCGTAAGATGCTCTTCTATTCTGCTCTCCTCCCACCCAGCCTAAAGTGCCCCGATGTTTGCTGTCACATATCAGTCTCACTTATGGCTGGCGGGACACTTTTTAATTAGAGCAGCAGCATCTGATAATCAGCACTAATTGCCTGTAGTCTCGTGCAAGGGACACAAACTGGGAGGTGCTGAGCCACGTAATCCAGCCCAAACCCCGTCCTCCCTCCCCACTGCCTTCCCCTGCCTCGCTTTCGCTGAATAGGGTTCGGTGTGGAAATGTCGGAGTAATGGGTAACCCGGCTGGAATGTGCCAGCAGATAAGTGAGGTGAGATAAGGGGGAAAGTCGGAGGAGACAACTCCTTATCGCTGGCAGGGATGAAAAAAATTCCCCGTGCCACCGCTTCGCGTGGTACCGCTCCTGCGGGAGGGCAGGGTACCCCTTCCTCCTGCCCGCTGGCTGTGAGAGCAGCCAAGAGGAACCCATCAAACCCATGCCCTGAGGTTCCCAAACCTAACATTTAATTATGCGCTTTTGTGGCACCGAATGCCACATCGCTCACATCCACGCTTTTCTTCCCCTTCCTCCTCCCTCCCTCCCAAAAACTCGTGTGCAGGAAGAAATGGTGCATTGTGAAGAGATTACACAACCGTTCCCCAAGCAATCACATTGTGCCCTCCTCCTCCTCCTCCTGAACCCCACTTACAGCCTTGCTTTGCCCTACCTACTATCCATTCCTGGTCTGACCTGGAAAAGCACCTGGCGTTATCTGGGAGCTATTTCCATCCAACAAGGGCTCCTTTCCTGTTGGTGGAAAAACCTTGGGCTTTGTCAGTGTCTCGCACAGAGCCAGAGATGTCACAGAAGCCAAAGCAGCTCTCCCGCTGCTTGGGTTTTTATTAGAGCTAGGAAGCGGCGCCCATCAGTCCAGCTTGAAGGAGGTGACCCTGAAGTCTCCCTTAACGCTCATGTAGCTGATCTTGTCGTAGCAGTGCCGGTTGGGGAACTCCACTTCATGCCCATCCGGTAGTTTCACTCGGAATTTGTCTGCCAGCATTTCAATGATAACCTGGGAGAAGAGAGGGGAGGAAGGGCAGGAATTGGGGACAGGAGGAGTTTCAGAGGTGAGCTTCCAGGCGAGAGGCCTGACTGTTACACGTAAGGGTCAGACCTGGTCCCTACAGCCTTAAGCAAGGTGCTGGGGGTTGAGCTAAGGGTATTGCAGGAAATGAGCAGTTGATATCAAAGGTCTGAGCTGGTATCTAGACTATGACCTGGGGACAGGATCTCTCCTGCAGCTGTTTCAGCTACTCAGATTGTAAACTCAGAGTAGTTGAACCCAAGTGTGCCTTTATATGCCACATGGCTTAGATCTGCTCTGAACAGGGCAGAATAAACCTGACACCCCAATGCCCTCAGCAGCTTACCAGGAAAAAGGAGCTTCGCTGATAAACACGCACAAGCAGACAGGACAAGAACGCATCACTGACCGTTGCAAATTAAAGGGATCGTTCCCCAATGCCATCACCTCGTCACCCCTTCCCCAAGAGCCAGCCATGACTGAGGAAACAAGCTTCCTCTCCACAGCAACAGGAACAGGACTCTCCTAAATGCAGCCCTGTTAACGTCTTGAGACATCAGACGGGATGAGACAGCAACTAGGACAGCAGGAGGAGAGGGAGGACAGATTGGCAGCATGGATCCAGGAGTAGTGAGGACAGAAGAGCCGAGGGAGAAGTTTTTGGACATCGCTCGAAACTCTAGGTTGCCTTAAAGCCTGTGTTTGCATAGGAGTGAATTAGGAAGAGAAATAAGGTAGAGAGCAGCAAGGTCCTGCTTCTTGGAGACCCCCTTTACCTTCATACGTGCCCCTGGTGCACTCACCTGCTGGGCAGGTATGAGGGGCAAGAAGCACTTACAAAGCCTGAGACAGACAGGGCTCACGCAAAGTTCCCAGAAGAAGCGTTCAGGTTTTGGAGTGGAAATGGCAATCAGGACCAAAAACCCAGAGGATGAGGGGCTGTTGGGAGGGAGCAGGAGGCATTGAATGGGACTAGGAGGATTAGGGTACAGGAATCTGCTAACCAGGGGCCTCCCCCACCATACACAACCCCCACAACCCCATGCCAGCACAGACCCCTCACCTTGATAGTGGAGCCCCTGGAGAAACAGAGGTGGTCATCACGATGCTCTTCCTGCCAGGCATTGGAGCACCTGGAGTTGAAGACGATGACAGACTCATTGAAGCGGGGACTGAAGTGAAATCCCAGATCCGAGGATCTGCAGCCAAGGTTGATGCTGAAGCTGTGGGTGAACAGGAGGAAGGTCAGCCGCACAGGCAGGACAGGGTCTTGGAAGACCTGAGATGCAACACACGGCTCTGCACCCAATTCCTCCATCAGCATTGCAGGCACTTAACGCCCCCTGTTTCCTCATTCTGCTCAGGAACTGGTGGAGTTTGCATGGTGGTGGTGTAGGGGCTCCCCTAACACTGAGCTACACTCACACTTCTTGTACCTGGCGACCTTGGAAAACCACCTCCCTCTGCAGCCCCCTTCAGTCCTGGCAAGTCGAGGTCGTTTCTTTGTACTTACTTGTCAGCATCATCGGATATCTTGCCCTTGACCTTCAGGGTGTCCCCAGTCTTCATACCCAGGTTGAAGACTTCAAATTTTTCCTAAGGCAGAGAGAAAAATAGCCTGTGGGGCTCCTTCAGCCATTCCTCCCCTGCCACCGCAAGTGAGAGGGTGCTGCTTGGAGAAGGTGCCCCAGCCAGGAGAACATCTACTGCTCTCAGCTGGTGTTCCTCTCATGCCCAAAAACCCTCTGTGCTAGAGGTCTTGCATGGGCTTCTCACTCAGTGAGGGAAGAGTGGGCTGAGTGAAGCCAGCAAGCGAGAAAAGACATCAGAGAGAGAGGAGATGAAAACAGGCTTGTCCTCAGCAGAAAGAAAGGAGAACATGACAGCAGAGATACAAAGAGGGTTAAAGCAGAGGGGCACAACCCAGGGTTTGGTGGGCAGCATCGCCTACAGCCCAAGAAATGCAAGTGGTGAGAGCGGAGGTGGCTGTGGCTTGCTGGTCCCTCGCTCAGCCTTGCTGAGCTGGGGACCCTGAGTGACAGAGGACAGGAGCAGCAGCCCTTACAGCCATCTTCCTCAGAGGGCAGAGTAACCAGGCAGGGAGCCACCAGCAGTTTAGCTCAGAAACGCTTCGCACAGAGGACCTTACATCCCTAGACTTCCTTGTGGCTTACACATTAACAGCAGCCCTGCCTCTGCAAGGCCCCACCAACTGCTATTAAGCCAGGAGACTTTGATCCAAAGAAATAGCTTCCCTATACACACTTCCTCTCATTAGGGACTTCAGGAGATTTAACCAATTCCCAGCCTCCTCAGTGGGCTCCCAGTGGAGAGACCACCATGCATAGCCCTTAGGAGTGCTACTCCAGCCACATAGGACAAGCGTCTTCCCAGCTGGTGATGGATGTGTGACCACCATGTTCACTTCTTTTCCGCATGTAACAGCTCAGCCAAAAGAAGCATCCCAGCTCCTTCCTTTTGTGGTAGGGGGCAGCCCCCCAAATCCCCACCATCCCTCCCCACAGTGCTCTGAGGACGGGCTCCAAGGGGCTCGGAGGAGAGGGCAGCCAACACATCCCCTCTAGACGACACAAGCTATGAACAGTCCTTTGCAGGAGTGACATGAGTGGCATCCCAGCTCCTTCCCTTCTCCTGGCTCTAGATTCAGCCCTAGCTGCACAGATTGCACTAGCAAGACATGGGAGCTCTCTGCAACCTCCCATCCAACCTCCATCGAGACCCAAACCTTTTAGCCATGCACATCAGGTTCAATAGCCCCATCCTCCCTAACCCTGAGACAGGGGAATGCTGTCCTCACAGGGGAGCATCACCCCTGCTGTCTTCTTCCCAGGTAAGAGCTACGAGTCAGTAGACAGTGTCCCAGATTTGTTTGAACAAATTGGTGGTGTTTTGCCAGACTCCAGAAGTCAGTGGGAAAGCGAGAAGGAGGAGGAGGCCAAGGCTCAGGAGGCCAGCAGTCCCTCAGCCCCCCTCCCAAGCCTTGCAGAGAGCAGCTGAGTGCAGTCATCCTCCTGCTGCACAGCCAGCTGGGAGACAGCCTCTGCCCTTCCCCAAAACCTGCTGAAGCAAACAAAGGTAAGCCTTGATAAGCACTCCTTCCCCGGAAGTGTTTCGTATTAGCAGGGGGTCAAAAAGCCATAAAGCCCAGCAGGCTTGGGAAATTTTTCTGCTGTTGAGGTCACTGAAGCTGTTGGTGAAACCTCCCCGGGCTGAGCACGGAGCTAGCAGGAGCAGGTGCTGCAGGGATGGTGGTTTCTGGCATCGGTTCTGTTTCCCATCACGCTGCTGTGTCCCACCCGCACACTCCTTCACGTCACCCTGCTCCCCCGCAGCCATCCCAGGGAGAACACAGAGCCCAGAGCCCCCCCTCAAAATATCGGAGCATCCCACTGGCTCTGAGAGGTTTCTCTTTCCAGCAACTCACGTTGTCCCTTTGCAGGGACAAGGGCAGTACAAAGACACTATTTGCATAGCCACCATCAGGGTTAGTTATCTGAACTCACTTTAAGCCAACAGGGAGAAACAAACACTTCTGGGGCTCAAGAGATTACATCCCAAGACAGACCCTAAACATGGTCAGAAAAATCCTGTCCTACATGGCTGGCCAAGGTGACAGGCCACAGGAATGTTGTGACAGAGACAAGAGCCAGGTCCTGGGCCAGCAACGTAAAGGAGCCTTCCCCCCGCTTCCAACACAGACCAGACAGAAACATCACTCTCACTGGGATTTATCCACCGGTCCCACTGGCAGAGTGTGAGGCTGCCCAGGAGGGAGAGCAGCGTGTGTCTGAGGGATGGGGAAAACTACCCGCGCAGAGAATTACGTGTGGACCCGCAAGTACCACGGATGTGAGAATATGCAGGGAGGGGGATGCGCAGGAAAGAGGCACGAGCTGCTCAGAGAGGGGCCGTGAGATTTTATCGAGGTAACATTAACCCCCCTCCTACAATGCTCAGCAGGGGCGTTCACCCCCCTTTTATTTGCCACTGGGAACAATAGTGGGAAACCAGGCAGCAGCTCTGCCAGCGCTGGCGACTTCCTTCGTCTGCAGCCTTCCTGAGCCTCCGCATGGCCAGACACCAGCCCTGTGCAGATGGCCCCTGTGCAGAGGTATGTGCTCCCCACATAGGAAGGGGCTGAGACTTTAGGGACCCCAGAAGAGCTGAAATTCTCCAGTGCAATTGGAGGTGGTGATTGGGATGATGAAAGGAGGGTGAAGTGGGCAGGTTGATACTTCCCTGCAGACACTGCGAAGCAGAAAGCCTGGGGAAACGATGATATGATGGGAACATAAATCCCAAAGAAAGAGGAAATCCGGCTGAAGGGCATCTGCAAAGGAGGTGGAGGGCCTGTGCAGCGAGGAAAATATAAGCAATGGTTGTGGAAGCTGGCAACCACCGGTGCAAGGGATCCGGGAACCCTTCATCCCCAGAGAGATGATCCTATAACAGGGTACCTGCCTGGGAGTGCCTCTCCAGGGCCACATATAGATGTTCATCCTGGCCGGAGGTCAGCTGGCCTGTACTGGTGTGGGATGCCCATGTTTACACCGCTGGCACCGGAGGAGGCTTTGCTGCATTCCCAGAGGATGCCTTGGGACAGCAGAGACCTGACAAGCAGTCACTAGCATGAGGGGGGGGCCATGCCCAACCAGCAAGGCAAGCTTCCAAGAGGGAGCAGGCAGGCCTGCAATTTTGCATGGAGAAAACAAAAAAACCCATATTTTAAGGAGGGAAGAGGCGAATACAACCATGACGGCTTTCAGCCAGAAGGGTGGCAGGGCAGGTCCTCTGCAGAATGCTTTCACCCCATGAAATGTGGCAGCTCCATTTGCAGAGGTCCCATAAGGTAGGTTTTGGGGTTAACAGTCCTTTCCAGCCTCCCTGCTAGTCCTGGGGAGATCTCAGGCCACCAGGAGCACCCATGGGATCTCAGGACCCTCGGGGAGGCTCCAGACAGCAGGACCTCATGTACCATAGCCTAGAGCCGCCACCGCTACCACAGGGCACCCACACAGCTGTTGAGAACAGACTGAATGCCACCCTCCCCAGCAGGCTGCCAAGATCTTCGGCAGCATCATTGCTGGCAGCAGTATTTATTTTGTTTTCTTACCTGGGCAGGAGATAAGCCAGCTAGGTGTGAAACCCTGAGGAAAACCGCAGGCTTCCCCACTTCCCAGCCAAAGTAGCCCAACCGCCCTAGATGCGAGAGGTTTCTCAGGGCCTTTTGGGGCAGGGGGCAGCCCCCAAAATCCACACCAGCACACCAAAATGGTGCCCACCATCCCTCCCAATGGTGCTCTGAGGAAGGGCTTCAAGGGGCTCAGAGGCCAGGGCAGCCAACGTGTCCTTTTTAGATGACACGAGCTGTGAATAGTCCCTCACAGGAATGACATGGGTCTTCACCAGACGTGATGCTCAGCCCAGATGGGAAGAGTGAGAGAGTGGAAGGCGAGGTGGCCATGCCAGCTGCGGGAATGCCTCAAACCAAGCCCTGTGAGAAGAGGCAAGAGATCCCCTTAGCACCCTAACGAAGGGCTGTGGTTTCAGCTTGGCGCTAATTAGTGGCACTGGAGGAGGACACTGGGGGGAGAAAAGGCGCCTGTCCCATTTTGCACTCAAGGCACCAGGGAGCCTGTGCTGTGGACCAGGCATCGGCATCCGTTCAAGGCAAAGGGAGCTGGAGAGAGCAACCGTGCATTCTTTCTCGGAGTAGCAGCTGCTCACTCTGCTATTATTTCCTACTGCTTCATATAATTTGTACTCCACAGCAAGCTATTGTCCCTTTCCACTGGCTATTTATTTCCTTGAATAGCCTCTGGGGAAGGATTTCAGTGCGGGAGTAAAGAAAAAAGAAAAACTCCACACAATAAATATTGAGCGGTGACCTGATTTAAACCATGTTCTCTGACCTCATCTGGGCCCTAGTTGCAGTTCCTCCTGGCAGTTGCGATTAAGCCACGTTTCTGACTCGGTTTCCCCCTTTTATGAAGCCTAGTGGGGAATGCTCCCTGCCTTAGAGGGCTGTGGGGTGGATTTCAAGAAGCTGAGCTCTGGATTTTCAGAGGCCAGGACTCAGGACAGGACCAAGAAGAGGCTTCCATCACCTCCTGACGGAGCTGCTCAGTCCTCCTTCCTGCCAGTCACAAAAATTCCCAGATAGGTTTGACAGGACCGGTTTCCCTTTTAGTTGAGGGGTGTTGGTTTGCCTCTCAGCAGATAGTGCTGCAACCTTCACCCAACCGATCCCTAAGCTCTGAAAGCCAGCCAGCTTCCTAATGGAGGAGGACCAAGAGAACAAAAAGTACTTACCTCAGCCAAACACTGAGGTAAGTAGGAGACTGGATAAGCAGGTCTGTAGATCTGGAGGGTGTGTACAGGAGAGGATTGTCCAGGAGATGCAGGAGAAGCCAAGGCAATGATGAGCACAATTGGTGCCCATGGAAACTGGTGCCCATGACCACTAACCTCCTGCCTAAGAGGTTAACCAGAGCAGGACAGCTCCTCTAGGGAAGGCACTGAAGTCTCCACATTCGGATCAACTAAAATGAGAAGGAACAAAGGACTGGAGGTGA